TGCCGCAAGGTACTCAGAGTGCTGATTAAAGTATCTGCCCAAATTTCAAGAATGGTGGCATTCCAAAAAAGAAGTATCGTATAAATATAGTTCCGAAAATGTAACTTTGCCCAGATAGAGAAATTGTAACTTGAAGCAAAAGAACTATACAGGTGTTGTTTCAGTTTATTGTTGCATAACTTTAATATTCGATAGAACTTAAAATTAATGCATAAAGTCTATATAAACATGGGTCGAAAAATGCGTGGCTTCCGAAATACAGGGTGTTTACTTTCTAAAATAGTTTTTTTTAAATATTTCGAACAATATTTGATGTATAACAGTGAAAATTGGTATACAAGGGTTTTTTGGTACGACAAAACGAACCATGGGCATAGTTTTACTGTAGCCGCTAGAGGGCGCTCTCTACTGTACCTGTAGTGTATTAAAATGACCGAAAATTTTTTCTTAGTGCAATTTTTGCTTTTTGAAAAAAAACTGATTCTTCGCACTTTTCAACATAAAAAAGCTCTCTGTGAGTTTTCGTTATAGTTAGCCGTTTTTGGATGATTTTTAATTATTTATGGGAAAATAATATTTTTTTTACATTTTCGATTTGGGCATTACAAGTAATTAAGATGATCGTTTAGATTGTGTTTTTAAACACAGCAATAATTCCTAACTCCAAATAAACACAAAAAAACAGAATATTAATTTGTTTAATTTTCCAATATTATTTTTAACAAATTAAATTAATTATTTACAACTAAAATGCTATTGGATAGTTAGGACAAACATACAAAATCTAAAGTAGTTGCTCGAAATGTAAACCCAATTGTTCAATACACAATTCACATCTACGAATGATCGAACGTGGTATAGCATTATTCAAATAAGGCCTTATTTCATCACATGCATTCCTGATTCTGTCTATTAGCATATCTCTTGTGGTTACGGGAGTCTGGTCTTTTAGAAATCCCCACACAAAGAAATCTAATGGATTTAGGTCAGGGGATCGTGGAGGCCAGGCGACTGGTCCTCCACGGCCGATCCATCTTTCTGGATAATTTTCGTCCAGCCAGTTTCTAACTATTCTCGAATAAAGCTGGACAACCATCAAGCTGGAACCAGGCCAATCTTCTTAAATCTAACATAACATCATCCCACATATTTGCATGTTCAGCCTTTAAAAATTCCAAGAAGGTCGCAGCATTTAACCTTGCAGGCAAAAGGTAGGGTCCAAATAGTCGATTACGGTAGATACCAATCCACACGTTCACACTAAATTCATGCTGAAAATTTCTTTCCCGAACTGCATGCGGATTTTCATGCGACCAAATATGTTGATTATGAAAATTTACCACTCCACGTCTAGTGAAGCATGACTCATCGGTCCATAAAACGTTACTTAAAAACCCTATTATTATCAGTTCTATCAAGAATCCACTGACAAAATGTGATTCTTCGTTCTCCGTCCCCTGGCTGTAGTCCTTGCACAGGTTGCAAATGGTAAGGACGTCTATGGTCATTTCTAAGAACACGGTGAACATGGCTTGCTGAAATTCCCAAGGCACCAGAAACTCTCCTAACACTTGTGGTCGGATCTCTATCAAACTCACGCAGAATCATACGGGTAAATCTGCGCTGACGAACATTTATGTTTTGATCCCTTTGGAGATTTCCAAAACCATTTTCAATTATTTGGCGATGCACTCTTACAAATACTGAGCGAGTTGGATGTCGTCTGTTTGGAAATCTTCGTGCGTATTCTCTGGCTGCTTTTGCTGCGTTTCCATTTACAAAGCCATACACAAAATGAATATCCGCTAACTTGATTGGAGAATAAAAATGGCATTTTTATAAAACTTACAAAAAAAAACAGGTAAAAGAAACTAAATTTCGTGCATTCACAATTGCAAAAAAAACGTTTCAGGTTTCAACAGACAACAAAACTAACTGTCAACTAATTGACGTTTAACCTTATCTGCTTTCATTTCAAAAATATTTGGCAGGCACAGCCTACTTCTAAAATTATCGAGATACGACTTTTTAACGTTTTTATCATAAATAATTAAAAATGCATCGAACCTAAAAAGTCGAAATATCTCAAAAACGGCTAACTATAACGAAAATTCACAACAGAGCTTTTTTATGTTGAAAAGTGCGAAGAATCAGTTTTTTTATTCAAAAAGCAAAAAATTGCACTAAGAAAAATTTTCGGTCATTTTAATACACTACAGGTACATAGAGAGCGCCCTCTAGCGGCTACAGTAAAATTATGCCCATGGTTCGTTTTGTCGTACCGAAAAACCCTTGTATTCCAATTTTCTTATTATACATCAAATATTGTTCGAAATATTTGAAAAAAAACTATTTTAGAAAGTAAATTTAAGCACCCTGTATTTCGGAAGCCACGCATTTTTCGACCCATGTTTATATCTTTATGCATTAATTTTAAAGTTCTATCGAATCTTTAAAGTTATGCAACAATAAACTGAAACACCCTGCATAATGAGGTTATTTGACTTCGTGAGGTAATATCATAAATAGGTATGTAAAGAGCCATTGTAATCAGTTATCACACATTGTTGACAATCAGTTTTACACCAGAGCTCCAAAGAAGCAAGTCTACCGTGTACGGCACGCTCATTGCTCCAATCTGAGGATTTTTTCCTGAAAACTCCAAATGGTGCACTAATGTTTCTGACAAGACCTTCTTTTTCATGTTAATAATGGTTCAACTGTACCTTAAGAGTATAAGAGAAGCCTGATAGCCTTTGTTCTGTCTAAAAGCCTTGCTTTTTAAGCTTCGAAGACGTTGATACCTTTCTTAGCTGCAACTGGTAGCCTCTCACCAGATAGATACGGATTCACGTTGTTCATCTAGAATGAGAGGTTACGTATATTTATTATGAGTATATTAATTATATTAGGTTATTGACTTAAATTTATGAATGAAACAGATACAATGAACGTAAGTAAGTTGTATTTGGATGATTGACCTTAGCTGCAGAACCTCTGTCATTATCGGACTACCACTGTTTATGTTAGAATAGAATAAAAAAGAAAAAGACTGAGTTATTTCCAGCAATAATAAAAATTATCTACAAAAAGGAGGTTAAGTTTACAAAGTCGTCGTCACATCAAACTTAAAAGTATCCTCCAAGTCGCTTTTCAAAATGTTAACATTTGTAGATGCTTTTAACGGTAGACGGCAGGATGATATATATTTTCAGACCTTCGACAAACATTGACATTCTAAACCCTTTGATCTAAATCTTTGTATTTTGAAGTTTTTTTTGATCTGATGTACTCACATTTCAAATTTCTTTTAGCAACTGTTCAAGATAATGCAGAGCCTATTCCTGGTAGTTTTGAACATAAAATAAATAAATAAATTTGTATCTTGTATGCTTGAATAATATTTAACAAATATTCTATATACTAATTTAAAAAATGTCGTTTGTAACCTTTGCTTATCTTCATTTGTGAGTATGATCAAAAGTGATGCACAATAAGTAAAATGAGGAAAAATATTTTATTCTAGACTACCCTTCGCTTAAATTGTTACAAATTCGACAAAAATGACAGATTTTCCGACACATATAATCGACATGTTTGTTAAGGGTTCGTTGCTGATCAACTGTAATACTTAAATATTCAAAACTATCTAGAAAATCAAGTATCGCCCTCAACTTTCACTGGCAAATTCAAATCTACTGATGTATTTTTGCAACCAATTATCATGCATTTCGTTTTTTTTCACACTTAGTTTTATCCTATTCGTTTTTAACCATATACGAGGGCTGTTCCAAAAATAGTGTTCCACATTTTATTCAGGTACAAGGAATCTTTTGTTTGAAAAAATAAGGAAGTCCGCCGCTAGCCGTTCAGAAACTTGGTAACTGCATCTTGTACTCCTCGTCCGTCTCGAACGGTTGACCACCTAGGTGCTCCTTCAATTTCAAAAACGCTATGTCATGACTGTAAGGGAGATGGGCAATAACTCCCCAGCCTAATTGCTCGATTAAGTCCTTCGTGCACTGTCATGGTGCTGTTTTACGTTTTGTTGAGTTTTCCAATACGTTGATTTTAAACTATACATCTCAGCTTTTTCAGAAGCTACAGGAATTTCAACCTCGAGTTTCCGAATCGAAATCAATAAAATAGGATATGGACATATAACTGACATACACAATAAAGAGTAGTGGATCTAGTACGCTGCCTTGGGGGACACCGTGATCAACAAAACATTATTTGATGTTTTCGATTTCAGCCACCGTTCAGACAAATACTCACCCAACCACAAGAGGGCTTTATTCTATACAATTCACATTTCTCAAAAACAACTTTGTGTCAATAGTTTCAAGCGTTCTTTAAGGTCTAAATTCAGGTGTTGAGATCATTCCTAGAAAGATGCAGAATAGATGCTGTTCATCTCTACGTTCAAATCAAAGGCGTGAAAATAGCATGGTGGGATCTCCCTTCAGTGATTACAAAAAAAATTTGTTCATATTTTCCGATTATTTTGTTAGCAACCAAATATGTTTCGCAACCAAAGTTAAAACATGTAATCATTTCTAAAGCATTAAAAGTACCTACCTCTTTGTCGTGGAACTCTTTGCTACCATGTTCTTATGCTGCATCCCATTCAACTGAAAATCAAATAATGAATTCTCAGTCAAATACTATAACAAAAAATCATTCATATATAGACTTATTGAGAGAACATGAATACAGCAATTTAAGATACGTGAATATGTTACAACAGAACGGGTACATATCTCAGATTAATACACCTACTAGGGTAGATTCTAACTCATCGACCATTATCGACCACATATTTTTGAAGACAACAGATTTAAGGTCTCTGAAACAGCAATTGAGTGTAAAGCAATACTTTGGAAAATTGTATGACCGATCATTATCCTGTTTTGTTCAATTTTGGGTATTTGAAAGGAAGTAATTGTATCATTAATAAAACAGCTATGAATTAAGAAAATTGATGAGAAAACGTTGACAGATTATTTACAAGTGGTGACTTGGGATAGTATTTTTTCAGAGAGTGATGGTCCAAAAAGCAACTGATAACTTCTATAATGAATTATATAAAGGCATAGATCATTCAACGTATAATTTAAAAATAATAGTAAGACTAGAAAACGCAAGCCATGGATGACTGACGGTATTCTTACTTCGATCAAGAAGAGGGATGAGTTGAAACAGAGTTTGACGAAAGATAATGATAATTTGATATTGAGACAATCCTATATATTCTACAGAAGCAGAGTAACTAATCTTATTAAGATCTCTAAAAATCAATATTATTAAACATTTTAGCTGGTAATAACTATAGGAAGAGCTGGGGATGTTATTAATGAGGTAACTAATGCTGGCAAAATAAAAAAAAATGACGTAAAATCAATTAATCACAATAATCAGCAGCTGGACGCTCCCACTGATATAGCCTGTGTTTTTAATAAATATTTTGTTGATATAGGTGAGCAAATAACAAGTCAGATTGATCAATACTCAATTCTTGATACGTCAGATCCTCATGTCATCAACATTGCTCACTCTATATTTCTAACTCCAGTGGATAACATAGAGTTACAACAAGTCGTTTGTAATCTGAAAAATAATAGCGCACCCGGAAAAGATGGCTTACATACTAAAACTATCAAGATGATCATGAAGTATATCAGTCACCCTATAACTCACATTATCAACCTCTGTTTCAAATCCTCAATAATTCCTCGGCAATTTAAAGAAAGCATAGTGACACCAATATTGAAATCTGGAAGTAAAGACAATATGTTCAATTATAGACCTATTTCAGTTATCAATGTATTTGGGAAGTTTTTTGAGAAGTGTTTGAATAACAGACTTTGTTCTTTTCTTGAGAAATATGACATAATATCGAACTGTCAATTTGGGTTCCGCAAAAATTGCAATACAGAGCAATCTCTACAAGGGCCTAAAGGACAAGTGCTTGAAAATTTTCAAGATGGAAATAAGACTGTTGCAGTTTTCCTAGATCTTCAAAAGGCTTGCGATTCAGTATCTCATACAATTTTATTAAAGGAACTAGAAAGTGTTGGAGTGCGTAGCGGAGTTCTGAACTTATTTAAGAACTACTTGGCTGATCGATTACAACAAGTTAAGGTAGGGTCAGATTTAAGCAACATTCAAAGATGAAAATAGGTGTGCCTCAGGGGACGGTTTTGGGACCAACACTGTTCCTCATATACATAAATGAACTACTTCGATGTAATTTCAACTGTAAGATGATATCATATGCAGACGATACTGTTTTAGTTTGCACTGGTCATTCATGGGATGACGCAATACGGAATGCCGAGTTGTCATTAAATAAAGTCAAATGCTGGTTGGATAACAATTTACTTAAACTTAATATCTCTAAAACTAAGTATGTAACGTTTTCTCCAACCAAAGCAGACATGCCATTACACCACCGAACATTAATTATAAACGATAGTGCTGACACTGTCGAAAGAGCTGAAGTTATTAGATACTTAGGAATCACTATTGACAGTAATTTAAAATGGCAGAGTCATGCCGAGCTTTTGGCATCGAAATTAAGGAGAATTATTCATAATTTTTTCATTCTTAGGAATATTTTAAGTAGAAAGAGTCTTCTCTCAATATATAACTGGTTTGTGGGTCTCTACTAACTTACGGGATAAGTATTTGGGGAGCCGCATACACTAGTACTTTAAAAATACTACAAACCATGCAAAATTATATTGTCAGGGACTATTTTTCGTATCCCATGTAGGCCAAGTTGCAGATTTGTTTACATTGAAAATGATCTTTATATATTTTTGCTGCTCTAAAGTTTTTTCACTCCCGAACAATATTCCAACCAGCCAAGCTTATGGAACAAGAACTAAAATAAATATAAGTTACACTTATACCAGAGTGAATAAATCTGTTTGCCAAAAATGCATAAAATTTGATGGGATTAGGTTGTATAATAAATTACCCCTAGAATATAAAATCCTCTCGAAGTATACTTTCAAAAAAAGAATTAAGAAGTTCATCTTAAATACTTTGACATGCTTGCATCGACGGTAGCTTGACTCAACTCAGTAATTTCGTTTCTATCTAATGTTTTTTTTATTTCTTTTTTTTATATACATTTGCTCATAATATACCTTATGACCATTAGCCATGCATTGAATTTGTATATTATATGACACACACAAGCTTATAGCTTAGGTGTCTATTCTTTTGTAGTAAATTGTGGTACTCTTGTTTCTCTGCTTAACCTTTACGCAAAATTTTTATTGTTTAACCTTACTCGAAATATCCCTATATTATCATATTTCAGATATTCATATTTTATGTACTCTATATTTATACTTCTGAGAGTTTTTAGTATGCTTCTGTACTATCGTTATGAATTTTAGATTTGTTTATGCAGACACGTAATTTAGGATTTGTGACGACAAGATTCAGACATTTACCCTTTACGAAAGTATACAGAATTTTCACAATTCATATACCGTTACTTGCTGGTTCTAGATCTGATGCTAGTATCTTTGCTCAGATTTCTGTTGCAATCTTGGTTATTCAGGGTAGCAAGAGTATACAAGCTCATGTATTTTTGAAGCTTTTTTTATTTAAATTGTACTGAAGGTTGTTTTTAATTTGTAAGTTATATTGGTTTTTGAATATGAATTTGAATAAACTTTGAACTTTGAAAAAAAAACTTTGAAAAAAAATGTTTTTCGACAGCACAGAATCTTGAAGTTTATTACATATAATATTTCACTTCCTTTCATATCCAAACTGTGTAAATATAACGTTAAGCATCTTTATCAATAAACGAGTGATACTTACCTTGAGAGACTGTTCCAAGAATCTGTTGAAATTGAGTTCCTCCAAATCGATCGGATCCTCCATATTAACTGCATTGGGACACTCAAACATGTGCTCGTTGTCACACATGCAATCCTGGGAAGCCTGGTACCTCCTGCTGAAGGAAGCTGAATTTTCGAAGTCTACGATGCAGCCATGATCCTCTGGAAGAAATCGAGATATATGGATTTTTTAGAAACTTCTTGGTCGGTTATGTAGATGTGGAGGATTTCAAAGGCGCTAAAAAAGTTACCAGTGAAGTCTCCCTTTTCAAGCAGAAGCTTTGAGTTGTGGAAGTAAATTAACTTGAGGCTTTTAAGTTTCTTGCCATTTTTGAGCGAAATCAGTTTTCCCTAATCCGGTAATGAAGAAGAGAGATTTCTAGTCTACAAAAGGTTACCTTTGTACACTCATAAAGGCATTAGAAGGCGTATCAGAATACCCACTTGGTCCTACAATTTATTACAAAAATATAAATAAATAAAAAAAAATATGTGACTCTAAGAAATGTTGGATACATTTCAGTCATCTATGTCATCATTTTCCAATTACTGTAATTACAGCTGGTCCATTCAAGGCTGATTTATTATAAAATGCTAGTCGTATTTTAAGTTTCTCTGGGTAGTAAAAGCTAGATGAATTTTTTTTTAGATTTGCTTACCATTATAGCCTACTGGGCAGGGGTTTGGTGGGTTACAATATGCAGGTAGTGTGGAATCTGTCTTGACTTCCTGCTTGTTTCTCATGCCGTCTGGTCTCAACAACTGGTTTCCCTCCCCAGCTCCACCAGAAACATACTAAAATCAAACCAAACCGGTAATCCGCTGACACTGAACAATGTAGCATTAGAATCGAAATATTTCCCCTTCAACTTCTATACTACAACTATTTAAAACTATAATGCGTACGACATATGTCGTTTCTGTGGCTTTGCGGTGGTCAACAGCACAGACAGAGATGGAAATAATGGCTGATTGTTCTCCGCCGGTAGAACCAATGAAATCAAAGACGCGCCTCGACCGGCAGACTCATAGGCGTCGGCAACGCATTGGAACGTGTTTCGTTGAGTGATCGCATATTGTGTGTTTTTATAAGAATTGTTGTGTGATTGTTATTGTTGTGGTTTCTGTGGTTAATGTTTGGTTATACTTAACCATGGAGAGTACAAATGGCACGAGTGGAAGTACTGAAAGCCAGGGAACAAGTAGACGGCTTCGTAAAGCACTGAAGAGGGACGCGAAAGAAATCGTGCTCAACGTGTTCAATTATCTGAACAGAACTATGTTGCAGGGAGATGCACTCGCGCGTTGTGAAAGTATGACGTGCGTTCCAGAGTGGACCATTCGCAGGGTGGTGCATGAAAAGAAGAAAACTGGAGCTACTACTGATCCAAAGTTTAATTTGAAGGGACGAAAGGCCGTTAAATTGGATGACGATAGCAAAATGGCGTTAAGGCGAACCGTACATTCATTCTTCTTTAGGAAAGAGATACCAACCTTCAAGGCTGTACATGCAGCGATCAAGGAAAATGAAATTATACCCCAAATGAGCGTCGAGGTAATGAGGAAATCCCTGCACGAAATTAATTTTCGTTACGAAACGCGTAATCGGAAGTCAGTATTGATAGAGAGACCTGAAATAGTCGCCTGGCGTCGAAAATACCTACGCGAAATGATTGAATATAGGCGACAAAGCAGAAAAATCTATTATTTGGACGAGACATGGGTAAATGCAGGTCACACAGTTAAAAAACCTGGATAGACAAAAACGTAGTGAGTAACCGACAAGCAAGCATTGAAGGTTTGTCAACAGGTCTTCGTGGACCGTCAGGGAAAGGTCAAAGATTGATCGTAACTCATATTGGTAGCGATAGTGGCTTTTTAGAAGAGTGTGACATGATTTCGTCTCTAAGAAAGGAGGTGATTACCATGACGAAATGAATGCCAGCTGCTTCGAGAGCTGGTTTCAAGGGGTGCTTCAGCGAGTTGAGCCCAACTCTGTGATCGTCATGGATAATGCTTCCTACCATAGTCGTCGAGTCGAACGTGTGCCGACTATGGGATCTCGAAAAAGTGACATGCAGCAATGGTTGCGCGAAAAAGGAATCCCGTTTAACGATTCATGTGTGAAAGCGGAATTGTATTAAACAGCACAAACCTGCGAACATTAGTTACGTGACTGATGAGATGGCCCGTCAATGTGGTGTCGCTGTGCTGCGGTTACCGCGCTACCACTGTGAACTGAACCCAATAGAGCTCATCTGGGCTCAGTGAAGGGTTATATTGCGCGCCATAACACAACCTTCAAATTACCAGACGTTAAGGTTTACTTGAGACTACCATACAGCTAGTAACGCCCGAAGCTGGCAGAATTCTGTCCGTCATGTTGTGAAGGAAGAAACAAAAATGTGGCAGCTTGACCACCACGTCGACACCATCATAGAGCCAGTTATAGTCAATTTCAACGAGGAAAGCGATAGCGACAGTTTATTACTGTCAGATGTAAGTGGAAGCGACGATGAATAAAGGTAATTCCCAATTTTTTACTTACAATATGTTTCAAACCACTCTTTATTAAGCATGTGACAAATCTAGTTCACCCATGTTAAACATTGATACCCCGCCTATGAACAGCCGACTACTGGTAGTTAAGTGATGTTCACGTGAACATCGATGAGTCATTACAGTTTTAGATAGTTATAGTATAGTAGAGAGTGTTTTTAGAATAGAATAGATTTATTAGCCATATGTTGTAATGATACATATCAGCTTCGTCGAATGGACTCAGGAAAACATAGTTTTAGCAAGGAACCACAGGATAAGTTTCAGATGATACAGGGCTTTTTCACAGTTGACTATAATATTAAGCTTGCTTTCTACCTGATTCCCCCACAGCGAGCTATGCTGCAAGTACTCCTGGTCTCTGATGCTAGGCAACAGGTTCAACTCTCCATTGGAATCGTAATCGTAGGGGGGTTCCTCTTCCATATCCCCTCCACCCCCAACGATCTGGCATCCAACGCGGACCCGTCAGTAAGGTCCAAATAGGACACATCCCCTCCGTTCTCATTGGCTGGCTTGTTGTGGATGCGGTTCAAGATGTTGCGTAGGAACAGGTTTGAACAAGTAAGAGTCCTAAAATTGAGTAAGACCATATACTATCTTCTGAGGAATAGCAGGAAGGGTATATAAATAGGAACCTTTGTGACTTCCAAGCGTTTTGTTTATTATGAGAGAAAAATCTATTTATATCTGTTAAGCTATCGCCGTAGTCGCCATTCTTGACAGAGAGCTTTAAGCAAATGGCTCGATAAAAAGTAGAACAAAACAGGCCCAATACTTATGCGATAATGAAATTTTTCAAAGCGACTGTTTTTTTAGTTAATCATCTCTACATAAATTCCATATCTCAATATGTTCTCATGATATGAATTGTTTTGATCACAACGACGAAAGGGTAACTGCTAATAGTCACATTGAAACTATTTCTTCTGACAAATATCACAAGTCATGGTTGCAGGGACGCCACTGGTGCCGCAACGAATTGCTTTTTATATTAGGGTATGTCATTTTAAGCCTTCTTATAATATGGTTAAATCGATGATAATATTAAAAGATTTCCAAAGTAAAATATGAAACGATTTTGTATTAAAAATGTATGATTCTGTAGTAACAATTAGAGCCATTGCAGCCATATGACCACATGTCATATAGGCGTTTCAGCAAACAATTATCCTGGAATATCACGTCTGTAAGAAACGCCCTGCATATCATTAATCCGTCACTATTTTCAACATATACTAAGTGACATATAAATCCGAACACCTAGTTTAAATGGTTTTATTTTAATAAAATTTTGTATAAGTACCTAATGAAGCATAATAAGTAAATGATAAAAATTTCAAAATGATTGCACTGCTTTAAAGTCCTTTGACCTGTAATAATGTGTGGATGCACCCTGATGTGCTACGCATTCTCCAACGCGCCTAGGCATGCTTCTGATCAGGTGGTCAATGACCTCCTGTGGTATCTCATTCCAGGCAACCACCAACTCCTCTCGAAGTGCTTCTAGAGTCCTGAGGAGGACGTTGCAAATTGAGCAATCTTCCTACCCATCATATCACACACGTGCTCAATTGGGGATAAGTCGGGAGATCTTGGTGGCCATGGTAACAATGTGACATCATTATGTTGAAAGAAGTCTATTGTGACTCTTGCAACATGTGGTCGGGCATTATCTTGTTGGAAAGTTGGATCTGCCAGGGGTGTCAAGATAGGGTAAAAGATGGGGTTCTAGAACTTGGTGGATATAACGCTGCGCGTTCATGTTACTTCTGATGAAGATTAAAGGTGACCAGGAACCATAAGCTATAGCACCCCCAAACCATAACTCCAACAGTGTGATGAACATGTCTTTCAACAAAAAACTGTGGATTCCTCCTTTCACCACGTCGCCTTCTAACCCTGCCTCGACCATCGTGCATGCCTAAACAAAATCGAGACTCGTCACTAAAGACAATACTGTTTCATTCCTGATCCCAGAGTGACCGTTGTCTGCTCCACTCAAGGCGATTACGTCGGTGTTCTCGAGTTAAAGGGAGGACCCAGTGTGGCCGGCATCAAAACAAGCCAAAACTTCTCATTCGTTGGTAAACACTTCGCATGCCAATAGGTCTTCCGTGTTCTGCAAACCATTCATTTGCAATGGAGCTGGTAGTGGAGAAACGGTCCCTTAACGCCAATAATCTTAGGCGGCGATCTTCACGGTCTGTTGTTCTACGGCGGCGTCCAGTGCCCCTTGCTCTTTGCGTACGGCCTTCTCGAAGCCATGCCTGACAACACCTAACCACAGTGTCTACACTTCTTTGCACTCTAACTGCAATTGCCCGAAAAGAAAGTCCAGCTTCCCGAAGTCCCACTATACGGCCCCTATCAAACTCACTAAGTTGACGAAATCGTACAGGTCTCCGTACTCTAGGCATCGTGACCGATCGTAAAGGATGTCAAGAACCAAAATCCGCCAACGTTGATTCTTTACTGCGGCTGAAATATTCATTTTTAGGGCGTTAGTGAATTAAAAAAAAGCAGTATAAAAACCGGAATGTCCAACTGATAAGGCTGAAAATTTTTTCGCTTGTTATTTACAGTAAGATAAATACATTCACCAACTTTTATCGAAACAAAACCATTTAAACGGGCTGTTCGGATTTATATGTCACTTAGTATATTCTAGTTATATATCTACTTAAATCACTATACATCACTAATTTGGCCTTTTCTGATATGTGCATAGGTTTCAATTTAAGTTTTTAACCAATTGTCGTCATTGCTTGTATTTATTTGTATATCTAACAGATTCTCATACTCTTTTTGTATATAGTACTTCAATGATGTTTATCCACTAGGCGAACATTTATTGTGATTAGTCGAAGTATATGTATATATTTTCACCTTTACTTTAATTTTATATACTTTTCTGTAACTGCTTTATTTATTTTATATTCATAGGTATCTTTCCGGCATATTTGCTCAAATGCATATATGACCTTGTTTCACATTGACAAGTCTTATATCATGTAAAATGTTCTAAAGAGACAATAAACTACCCAACTGTATATTCATACATATCCGATAAAGGTTGTAAAGGTAACAGTTTGCCTTACCTTTCCATATGGTATATAGCAGTAGGTCCCTGAAAGGGACACCAACAATATCAAGACGAACTTCATTTTCACGACCTGGAAAAGAAATATGGGCTTATAGTGAAAAATAGCTGCAGAAGACATGTTTATTTTATATCCAACAACAATTCGTCATCATGGTACCATGTTAGAGCAATAAATCGGGAAATAGGTTTAAACGAAGTTCTTAGATGTTCTTGCTTAATAACCTGGCTAGTTAAAATCAGAGAAAATATATTCAATCGATGTCTTTAACGATTTATAGTAGCTCTTTAGACAAACCGAGGAGGTTAGGAGTTTGTTGTTTTGGAGATTGGTGACTCAAACTTTGCCGATATTCTGAAAAGGCGAATAGCTTTTTGAAAAGCTTAAAAGTCACAGGAGTATTATCTTAAAAAGTTAGGTATTATAAGATAGGTATTCGAACAAGTTTCCATGGTTCTAGAAACTAAAATAAATATAATAAACGGAAATTATACACGCTTCTACCCTTTTCTTTGATGTTCTAGAAAAATTCATATAGATAATGCAAAATGAACGTGTCATATCAAAAATACAACCAGCTTTTTAAGACCAGATATACCTACTACATTCAAAATTGCATATTCATAAAACTGTTTAACTGGCTTTCATTTATTAATTCAATCATTGTTAAATCAAATACCCTCTTGCCAATCTTGACATTACTTTTTAAACCCAACACATGTAAATTTGCAACGTAACAATTCTATAAGGATGTTTAATGGACGGAAAAAATATTTTGAAAACGCAGATCCCACCGTAAATATGAAGTCCTTGGGACAACCTCAGCCACATTGACTATTTTCGAGAAATCTGTTATTAAGTAAATCCTGAAATCACGTGTATTGCTCAATTTGGATTAAAATGCTACAATATGCTTACATTTCGAAGAATAAAGGTTTGGTAATAACAAAATGAAAATTACGACGCAGTAATTTATTTCTGAATATACTGTGCCTTGTTGAAAAAAACGTACTTCAAAGGTAATTTGAGGATAAACATATAATTTGGATATTCATTGCTAGACTTAAAACAGCATACTTTGTTGCATTTGGCAGACTCCTTATCTACGTTGCAGTTCTTTCTATAGACAAACGTAAAGCCCAAATACGCTAAGGTTATGTTCTTGCATTAAGTCTGTGTCAGACATGTATTCTATTTCGGAAAAATATGAATGTTGTTTTAAATTTGATTAAAGTCGCAATCCACACTGATACATTTATTTGGTCAAAAGTTACATATTATTGAATCGTATTAACGATATTTGCGGCCTATGATAGTTGTTTCCACTAAGGATAATTATATGTACTAATATAGATGGTATTGTGAAACTAACACAAAGATAGAGTTCCTACTTGTCGAAAGCGTATGTCTCATCTATAACGGGGGTAGTCCATGTCCAAATCATACTCGTAGACCACAAATGTAGTTACTCGCCCGGCGTCAGTATCAGAACTGTCATCACTTGCATGATAATCTTTGACGTTTAAGCTGTCATCTGAATTAAGTCCAGAACCATCTTGGCCCTCTATACCATTGAAATATCCCTCGCATTTTATAAATTATAGCGACATCCACAAAAATAATGTCAAAAAACGCACTTCGGCATAGATAGCTTTGAAACCGAAATGTGTTTTTTTTTGTTAAAATGTGACTTAGGTACCTTACTACCTCAAGCTCTTCATATATACTCTGAATGTGAATTTTATAGTTTCCAATGTCTTGGAGTATTTTTTGAGTATCTATAGTTTAGACGTATCAGTACGAAATGTGCAGTTCTAAGGTTTTAAGATATCAGCTTTACGGAAATCCGCCATGTTACGCACTATCAATATGTGCTCCCCTTATATTACCCTTTTTACATTGACAGCAAATCCACAAGCGAACTGAGTTGTTGACCAAATCTAAAATGTATAAAACAGGAATTCGACGTCAAATAAATCTATGAACTTCTTCCTGGATTTTGTTAGGCAGTATGTAACCTGTTCTAGGTTTTGCAAAGCTGAACGTCAAACTTCATGACTCCAATCTTGTTCTCCCTCCCATTATATTGAAGTATAGGACCTTGATAGAGGATCATTCTGCAATGATCTTTGTTTGTGAGATTCGCGTTAACATCAGAACTACAATATTGTCCTAGTGAATGTTAAGGGAGCGATTTTTTATTCCATTTTAAAGAGCAGATATCATATGAACGGTATACCGATAACGTCTTAGCTTTTAAGATAAAAAGCGGTAAAGTTTTGATTATGTAATGTATAATATATATATATATAGATATATATATATATATATATATAAATATCTATAGATATATATATAAATATAACATATAACAAGTATATCATTTGTACTCGTAATATACAGGGTGACTTTGAAGTTGCGTCATTAATTTTCAGATAATGATTGTAGAAGGAAGAAGAAGCAACCAAAATATGTGTGTAAAAATAAAAAAAAAATTAAAAAAAAAATTTACCTTGTTTTATAAAGTACCTCCCGACAAGTATTTCAGTGCGGACCTGTATTTGATCGTGAGGTCTTGGAGCACCGGCATGCCGTCCCCTGTGAGGTCTTAATTCACCTGATTCACGAGCCCGTTGTACTACATTAACCAAAGGCACGAGGGGTTGGTTGCACTCGATTGGGAAACCGATCCGCATAAACATGTGCCATTTTTTATTTCGTTTGAGCCACGCAACAGACACCACTATTCACTCACGCGTTATTCACTGACACTGACTGTATACAACTGAATAAAATAATAATTGTAAAAACATCGTTCCCAAATTCTTTCGCTTTTTTGTTTCCGATGCGATGAGCGATAAAGCGGATTATATCCGTTTTGCCAAACACGAGCACATAATATTATTATTGAGACAGGGCGGTACTCAAACTTCCAAAGGGCTATAACTTTGTTACTTTAATTTTACCAGAAAAATGGTAAAGGAAAAAACATTTCTTTTGATCAGATCTACTCACTGTTAAAATAAATGACTCAACTTCGGAGTCACCCTGATAATATGTAATACATAGTATATGATTTATAACATAATTATATATATAATATATAATATATATATATATATATAATATATAATATATATAATATATAATATATAATATATATATATATATATAATATATAATATATAATATATAATATAATATATATATATAATATATAATATAATATATTATATAATATATAATAATAATATTAATATACAGGGTGACTTTGAAGTTGAGTCATTAATTTTCAGATAATGATTGTAGAAGGAAGATAAACCAAAATATGTGTGTAAAAATAAAAAAAAATTAAAAAAAAAAATTTTACCTTGTTTTTATAAAGTAATCCTCCCGACAAGTATTTCAGTGCGGACCTGTATTTGATCGTGAGGTCTTGGAAGCACCGGCATGCCGTCCCCTGTGAGGTCTTAAGTCACCTGATTCACGAGCCCGTTGTACTACATTAACAAAGGCACGAGAGGTTGGTTGCACTCGATTGGGGAAACCGATCCGCATAATACACTGTGCCATTTTTTATTTCGTTTGAGCCACGCAACAGAAACCACTATTCACTCACGCTTTACCGACTGACCACTGACTGTATACAACTGAATAAAATAATTGTAAAAACATCGTTCCAAATTCTCTTTCGCTTTTTTGTTTTCGATGCGATGAAACCGATAAGGCGGATTATATCCGTTGTTGCCAAACCGAGCACATAATATTATTATTGAGACAGGGCGGTACTGAAACTTTCCAAAGGGCTATAACTTTGTTACTTTAATTTTACCAGAAAAATGGTAAAGGAAAAAACATTTCTTTTGATCAGATCTACTCACTGTTAAAATAAATGACTCAACTTCGAAGTCACCCTGTATAATATTTGATTGAAAAAAAGCGACCATATTTGCTTAGAGATGGCTGAAGAACTTCGAGAATAATTTTTATTTATAAAAAATTCAATGTTTGCCAAAAAAGGCAGGTGAGAATTGTACGAACGCTGCTGGTGGAAAGTAGCAACTGGCAAATTTAATCAAAATATCTAAGCGGGTATTGACAGATATTAGTAGTAAGTGGTTTTACTTCTGAAAAACTCAACCACCCTGTTTTCAAAAGTAGTTAAGTAATTGAATTTTCTTCTTAAAGAATAGAGAATTATTTCTGGCCATATTTTTTATGTGATTGGCGATATTGACTGTACTGTGTATCGTGAGATAATTCATGAACTTGCTCTTTTGAATCACTGCAAAATACCCAGCGTAATCTTCAACCAATCTATCTGAATGCATTTGTAAAAAAATGTTTGGTGTAAATGGGTATCAGTAATAGGCAGCAGTATAAATCGCCAATTTTCTCACAAAAGCAAAGCAATAAGCAGGGAATAAGATCATTGTAGATTTCATGTTTCAAATTTACATCAAGCTGTCGTGACTGTGAGGTGGCTCGAAGTGAGAAATTTTAAAAGCATTGGGGAACAAACTTTCTTTTAACCAGATACTCATGCACATCAACAAAGGGATCTCTGTTGCTGGTAGTAGTCATGAATGACCAAGTTAAGAATGGATACAGCCTCAGAATGAACCACCTGTTATGCGAAACAGGAAACATGGTTTTACAACGTGGAACAATATGCGAGAACAAGAATAGCACATTGTGCTGCTAGGAACTGCTGAAGCCTTTTCATTACAGCTAGAGATTGACACACAGAAAGATAAAGTAGTTGAGAGTAAAAACTGCCACCTCACAAGATTTCGTTTTGTAACTTTTATAATTGTCATGGTTGCTTCTACATATGTGCAGGAAATGCGAGGAAAATAAAAGTAAGGTAGAAAGATTGATCAAGCAAGCAGGAAAATTGATATGCATGTCATGCACAATCAAAAATTTGAATTGAAACTCATACGTAACTCACCTTTAAGGTCGGAAAATTCAGTATGCCAGTCAGATGAAGGACCGCTCCGAATCCGACGAAGGACGCAGTGTTGCCATATTGTCGGGAAATTATTCGATTTGCGGGAGCTTTCAGACTCCGTCAACCTCTCAAAAAAAGATAAAAATTTAACGTCACGTAGCTCGATTCCGTGCTTCACACATCACTCATCAATTAGGTTTATTTCCAACGCTGCGTATGGTGTGCTTCTTCGGCAGAGGTAGTTATATAATATTGCTAGTTTTAGACCACAGATGACCGAAAGCTAGAGTATAATTCAAATCACTAAATGTAGCATTGTATCCGTACGCAAAGCTTCTTGAGAGGGTCTTTTAGGTAAGCTTTTTAGAAGTTTAGGCTACATTTATCCCCGGAAAGTGCTTCTCATGGAGACTATAGGATGAGGGCATCCAGGAAAATTTCTGATCATAGTTGATCATGGCTTTCGAAAAGGTAAAACTGAAAGCTTAGATTCTGAGTAGTCCAGGTGATTCAAAAAAGTCTGTGTTCACGAAAACTAAGCAAACCATGGAGTAAAAGCTCTTAAAGGGTCTTAGATGCCGCCCTATTGAAAACTTTTATACTACTGAAAGCCTCATAGAAGCACAGAAAGAGGTCTGCCGTTTTTGCAAAAAACTTCTTAGAGATACCACAAGGCGAATTCTTACACATGATTTTTAGGCGAAAGCTGACTAAAAGCTTCCTCAGTACTAAGAGCGGAACTCTGATGGCTGAAACCTTAGTAAAAAGTAATAATTAATAATAACATGGAATTTATCAGGATAAGTTTAAGAACTTAAGTTGTTAATCAAAACTACAGTCACCAAAAACTGCTATCATGATATGCTTTTATATAGTGACAACTGTTGATGCTTGGAGTTTATTGCATGATCTGACAACGTTGT